CCCCCCCCAGCTCCTAGGTACCCTACCTCTAGCTCCTCATAGCGTTGTCCCAGCAGGACCAGTTCAGGGTCGGCCCCTGGGAGGTGTTTCATCACCAGGTTGTGGCTGGAGGTGGGTTAAGGTGGATAGTAGTGGGCAGAGGAGGAGCCCTGGGTGGCGCAGTGGGTAAGCTCTGGGCTGCTAACCAAAAGGGGTGCAATTGGAACTCCACACCCCCACACCCCCCCGCTGCTCCACCAGAAAATAACTGAGGCATTCAGCTTCCTCAGTAAAAACTGATCATCTCGGAAACCCTCAAGGCAGTACTCCTTCATCCTACAGGGTGGCTATGCGTCAGAATCTACTGCATCACAGGGGGTTCAGATGGGTAGGCAGGGGCGGCTGGAAGCTCCTGGCGTTTTGCTGATGTAAACCCAAAAGCCACCTTGGATGAGTGCCTACTCTCTGCTCAGTCACCATTGACACATAAGGAAATTACAGTTTCCATTCCCACAGGAGCAGTTCCACCCTGTCCTTCTAGGGTCACGGGGAGTCAGAATTGACTCTGGCAGGGAGTTTGCTTCATCTGTCTCCATTCCTGCGCCTGTGGCAGACATCACTAGTCAGTCTCCCTTGCCTAGCCAACCCCATTCCTTTGGCAGTCACTGTGAATCAATCCCACTGTCAGATGGAAACTGTCTGCCATCCATCCCCCTGAAATCAGAGGAGAAGAGATTCCCCCAGCCCCCCTCCCGCTCTCGGTGCTCCCGGAAGAGAGAGGAAGGATACTACAATGGAATGTCCTTGGTGACAAAGGCCTTCACCTGTTGAGAAAGCAAAGCATCAGAGAGCATGACCCCAGCCGCCTCCAAGGATGGATGAAAAACTGAATCCCAGTGAGGCCACACAGTCACACAGGGGCAGGTCCTGACGCCCACCCCAGGGGTCTCCCCACTTCTGATCACAGGGGCCGTGTGGACCACCCCGCAAGAAGTTCAGAGCTCGGAAATAACCTCCCTTCAAACTCACCTCCTTCATGCGGTTCAGCTGTCATCCTCCGCAGGTCTGAAGGGGGCAAAATGGACCAGGTCAGGAGTTGCCACTTGGGCTCCAGGGAGCTCATCAACAAACTGGGCTTAATTACCCTTAGAGCTGACATTCCCAGGGTTGAAGAATCTGGAGACCATTTGAGGGTACATGGGGCATAGTGTGGCAGGTGGTAAAACAGGCCTGAGGCCATTGGGGGAAAAGAGGACCAAGACCAGAGGCCCAAAGGGGCCTTGGCTGCATTCCCTACAGACTACTGACACTGGAGTCTTCTCAGGAAGCTTGCCCTTCACCTGGGGCAGTAGAGAGCTGAGCCTGGCCTTTGGCACAGGCAGCATAGGAGCAGAGCTGAGAGGAACAGCTCAGAGCTGCCCTGAGGGGCCTCTGTTAGTGACACCCGCCATCTGGTCCCTACCCCACAGAGTTGGCCTATCCTGGCCACCTACAGGCCATCTGCTTCCTTCCCTCAACATGGGAGGTGGGAAGGTCCCTCCCTACACTCCCCACAGGAGCCGTCTGGCAACTGATCAAGACCCCAGGGCCCCACCCGTTCCAATTCTCCCACATCCTCACCGCTTGTCAGACACAAAGCTAGGACCTAGAGGGCCTGGGACGGTTCAGGTCAAACAGAAAGATGGGCTCCGCCAGAAAGGGGAGGGTTGCTGCAGCCTAAAAGCTGGCAATGAAGTCCCCACCCCCTTTTTGGCTGCAGCACGGAAGGGGGAGGCGCCCCACCCAGGCTTCCCTCCTCTTGGCCAGAAGAGGGAGACCCTCCAGGGCCCCAAGTCTTGGAACAGAAGTGGGGGAGGGATTCCGGGAAAGGGTGGAAAGGCGGAGGATAGGCAGTGGGCCCAGCGGGGGGGGGGGGGGGGGAATCTTTTAAGGGAATCATTACAGACTGAGAGATGAGTCTTTGTGTCTTGGGGCTGGCGGTCCGATCGGATATTGGGTTAGTGAAATAGTGGGGTTCCAGGCCGCAAAGCCGTGGGTGCTGGAGTGTCCTGAGGCTAGTGGGGGCCGAGCGATGGTCCAAGTGGCGATGAGGCTCAGGGGTCCAGGGAATCCTGGGGTTGGGGTAGGCGGAGCTCCCGGGGCTAAAGGGCCGCAGGGTTGTGGGCGGTGGTCCAGGGAGCTCGGAACCAGCGTTCTCACCTCTACCCGGGCCCGGGCCAGGCCGCGCAGACGGTTCCAGTCCGGCTGAAAGGTGGCGGTGGCGGCGGCGAGGCTCGCAGACGCCGCGAGAAGGAGCAGTAGCGGTGGAGGGGGCAGCGGGAGGCGCATCGGGCCGAGGTCCGCGTCCCGCAGGAGACAAATCGCCAGATGGAGGGCAGCAGCCAGGCCGCTGCGCCACGTCGGTCCAGGCGGACCTGCCCAACCCCTGCTAAGGCTCCGCCCCAGACTCCACGCCTCCAGGCTCCTGCCCCCGCCCCCCCGGACTCCCGGGAAGCGGGGGGGCCCCCGCAGGGTCGGGCTCCACCTGGCCTTGTGGCCCTCATTTTGCACATTCGGAGAGCATTCGCGTTCCCTCCGCCCAAAGAGTGGACCTTCGCACCAGAGGCGACTGGCTAGCGCCACCTGACGCTGCAGGGGGGCGCGAGCGGGCCCAGGACGGATGTCGCATTTCCCAGGCCAGACTCAGGATCTGCAGGCCGGGAAACGGAGGCCTGGGGAATCCTGGTTTGATCTTTTTACTTCTTTGGAAGAGATTCCGATTAGGGTTTGCATTCCCGAGAACACACCTTATGCTGATAAAAAAATATAAATATTATCTAGCCAGTTGAATTCGGTAGGATAAAAGGGTTCAAAAGCCAAGCACATGCTCACTGCCACCCAGGTGACGCCGACTCACAGCAACCCTATAGGACCGGAAGAGCTGCCCCTGTGAGTGTCTGAGACGGGAACTCTTAGCGAGAGTAGAAAACCCAGTCTTTCTCCGACGAAAAGGTTAGTAGACATAACGTTCTTTGTAACCGTGCCTGAAAGTGTTAATTCACCATCATTTCGTTCCTTGGCTCACAAGGCACCTGCGTTCTGTTTTGCATGTTAGGAAACACAAGTTCAACTGGTGGACCTGGGATGGCATGAAGTGCCATTGGTCTGTTCCCTGCTCATCACAACCCTGTGCACTGCAGAGCAGAACACTGCCCGACCCGCACCATCCTCACAAAGGTTCTGTTAGATCTCTCTGGAGCTAGATTTATACCTCGGTCCTTGGCTCCGCGCGAGAAAGAATTCACGCCAAAGCCTGGTTCGTGATCGAAGTGAGTTTTATGAAAGTTAGAAGAAGTTTCAGGTTTACACGGCACCCAAGGGGCTCCTCCCGGACTCGCGGCCTAGCTGGAAGCGGCTCTGCGTCCCGAAAAGCGTGCCAAAGCTCTCTGCGCCTGAGTTCTCTCTTCTCCGTTCTAAGTTCTTGTTCTCCCTCCCCTCCGGGCTTCTGCCTTTTCAAGGATTCCACAGGGAGGCGTGGTGGAAGACCCCTGGTCGACCCCATTGGCTGAATTGAATTCACCTGGCTAGGTGATCCAATTCAATTTCACGCCCACCCCTGCCTACCGGCGGGAACCCTGAACATGTGCGCTGTGCCACTCCTTTGTTCCCCTAGCTTGGCCCTCTGGGCACGCGTTAATGGACATCCCCCAGTCCTATGCTGGCCTACCTAACAGTTCTTAACGTTCGAGCCCGTTGCTGCGGCCACTGTGTCAACCCAGCTCATAAACGATCTTCCTCTTTTGCGCTGCCGCCTCCACTTTACCAAGCACTTTGTCCTTTTCCAGGGACGGATCTCTCCTGTTACCATGTCCAAAGTGGGTGAGATAAAGGCTCACCATCTTTGCCTCTCAGGAGCATCCGGGCTGTACTTCTGCCAAGACAGATTAATTTCTTCTTTGTCAGCACCATAAGGCAAATGCACCGATTCTTCCAACTTTCACACGCATATGAAGCAAGTGAAAATATCATGGCTTGGGGCAGGGGTACTTTCTCAAAGTAACATCCTTGCTTTCCAACACGCTAACGAGGGCTGGTGCAGCAGCTTGATCCAAGGTCACGCTTTGATAACTTGACGGTTGCTTTCATGGGGAGCAAGTAGACGAAACCCTTGACAACGTCAATCTGTTTCTTGTTTATCGTGATAGTTACTTACTGGCCTAGTTGTGACAACATTTTCTGAATTGAGTTATCGGCAATATTGAAGGCTGCAATCCTTGATCTTCGTCGGTGACTGCTTCAAGTCTTCTTCGCGGGTACCTGGGATTGGAACTCACAACATTCTCACCCAGAGGGCACTTGGCCTCTGCACCCCTGAGGGAGACGCAGACCATCTAACCCGGTGCTGTTTCCCTCCTGAATCTAAACTGGGACTCGGAATCCTTCTCAACACAGAACCACGTCTGCATAATGACTTTTGGAGACTGTAGGCATTTTTTTCTTTCTGGGCCCCTTCCTCCGAAAAGAAAAAAAACAATTTTTTATTCCGTTTTACAACAGCTTTGGAATAAAGATGAAAAAAAATCCAGGCTAAATGCAGTATTCCAGACAGTTCCCAGATTCCGAAGGAGACCTCTTCCTAAATCTGTCTTTAAGTGGAATTTGTATGTAAATTGGAACACTTACGTGTGGCTTATCAGTTAGTCAGATATTTGTCCTAATCTAGTATATAGTGTACCTTTCTGTGCATAAAAAAATAGCAAAGAAACACTTCTATATACATTACAGCATCTTTTTTTTCCTTTTAAAAATCATTTTATTGGGGTCT